AGCACATATTTTATCTCTTCTGGAAGCATTTGTATTTTCACTGGGCATCAGTTTCCAGGGTCAACAACCATGAGAAGAAGGGAACTCTGCCACTGCATCCAAAATCATGCCTGCTAAAGATAAGATCCTCACAGTAGTTCTGAGTTATGCAGATCACAGATAATTCACAGTCTAATCACCAAATCTGTATCCATATTTTGTGATTAAGACACTATAAATAGAAACCAAACACAGGATCATAAGTTTCAAGGACTAATCTGAGGAGGTACTTGAAAAAAATTGTATGAACAGAAAGCACTGGTCCTCAAGGTGTTGTCCCCAGACCAGCATGGTTTGCATCACCTGAAACTTGTCAAAAATGCAAACTCTTGGGCTTTACCCCAGACCTACTGAACTGGAAATTCTGAGGGTGGGGTCCAGCACTTTATGCTGTAGTCAGGTCTTCTGGGTGATTCTGATGCAACTGAAGTTTGAAAAATGCTGCTCTAGTGGGCACAAAACTCAGTGCATGAGGTTCTTACTCAGAATCCCAAAGGAGTAGTGACCTGACAGGAGGCTCTGTGGGCTGACTGAAGTTCTCCATACTGGGCTAGGATGCTGGCATTTAGAATTGGATCATTAACCTAAACAGACTACATGGGTAACATTTAATTAAGTCAGTGGCTATTTCAGAGAAAGGTCACTATTAATATAATGGAAGATGGATACACTAACATATATTCACATTATGGTTATCTGTGGTTAAAAAGAAGTTCTAAGGTACCCACTAAGCCTATCTGCTCAAACAAGTCACAAAATTTTTCAGAATATAATGTGATTTGCCATAAATAAAAATTTCATAAATGTATTAACACAATGTGAAAGTATAGCTTATATTTAGATTCTGCTTTAAAACTTTTATTCTGTAAATTTCATTTTTATTCATGTACATATGTACTAAAACATACTGTGAAACTTCTTACAAAGTTTCACACAAAATTCAACATCTCTTCTATCCCAGAAATACAAACATGTTCTAGGAATGTTCTCAAAATGATCATTTCTGCTGCTAGTCCAGTTTCAAGTTTAACATATTTTTAAGCTTATGTGCCAAACACTGGGTCCTTTGGAGATAAAAGGGTGAAAGCATCCATACAGTATCCGTGTAAGGAAAGACATAACTCCTGCTCTCAACCACTGGATTATCTGAATAATTGGCTCCAAATTCTCACCATGAAGAGGGTTTTCAAGGTCCCAATACTTATTTTCATTTCTGTTTGTATGACAACAAAGCTAGGCATGTAGAGAAGCAGCAGAACTACACTGCTATGGTATTTAAAAGGGGAATGAGCCCGGCCGGGCGTGGCTCAGCGGTTGAGCGTCGGCCTGGGATCCAGGCGATCGGGGTTCGATTCCTGGTAGGGGCACATGCCCGGGTTGTGGGCTCGATCAATGACTCTCTCATAATTGATGTTTCTATCTCTCTCTATCCCTCTGCTTTCCTCTCTCTAAATCAATAAAGATATATTTTTTTAAAAAAGGGGGGGGGGGAATGAGAAGCTCTGTAAATGTAAGTAGTGAGACTCCTGTTTCCTTTATTCAAAGCATTGTTCCTGGATCATACCTCCAGTGGGGTGCTCACATCTGTACTCACTGAAAATGATCAAATAATTGGCTATCTGGCCCAACCAGCCTGAGGTATTTTTTTGTCATTTTAATTAGCACACCTGCTATCACAGGCATGACTTCTTAGTGGGGAGGTTCATTAGCAGGAAGGAGGAAGAAAAGCCAAAGATCTTCCTTCCGCTTTGGGACCTTTTCTCTGCTCATTAACGGATCTGTCATCAGGCAAGAAGGTGAACTGAGAGCAGCCCATGTTCACACCAGTCAATTCTGCTACTTGTTAGCAGCTCTGATAAGAGAGGAAAAATAGAAAGGTAAAAAAACCACAACTCTGGGAAGGAACTACTGAAGTCAGATTTTGTTATTCCTTTCGATTTCATAATCCTTGTTCCCTTGAACACTAAGCATCAATGAAAATCCTGAATTTCTGGTGGAGGAGTTCACTCTTTCCTTCTTGTCCTAAGCAAGCAGTTACTGAAAGTTGAACCACAAAAGCTACAGCAATGGGGAGTCCAAAGGACAACTGAGAGTATGTACAGACCCTTCATCCATGCTCAGTCTAACTCAAACCACCTTTTAGGAAACGAGGATTGGGATCAAAAAGAAAATTTGGAGTTGGAATAAAATATAAGCTAAGCCTCAAGATAGAGTTCAAACACAGACCCTCTTTTAATTCCAACATGAACGAGCAGGGAATATATCAATAATTATGAAGACCCTTATGATTTTCTTAAGGGGAATTTAAAACCAAGATCATCAGGTCCCAAAATGTTTAAATACTTTCTAGAATATTCTAGAATGGTTTAATTTTGATTAAGTAGTAATTTAGTATGATCAGGTGACTATAATATAATGCACAAATTCAAATATGGTTCATTTTATACGGTAAATTATATCTTTTTAGATTTGAAAATATATATACTCATGGAAAAAATATGGAATCTAGACTTCCTAGGTAAGATCATTCTTTAGCCTTTAGATAATGCCTCTGTCTTTAGAGCAACGATTCACCACTACGTTAATACTAAAATCATAAGCCTTGTAGAGGTCCCCACATCTTGGTATGTCCTTCTTCTTAATGTTTCTACATAAGCACCACCTTTTTCAGCATATGCAATACATGTGAATTGGTCACCAATACATATTGGGGGTTAAAGGGATGTTTTTCCCTTTACAGAGTATTAATAAATTCAGTTCAGCTATTCTTCCCAAGTTAATGACTCTCTCTCTCTCCTTATTTTCCTCCCATCCATTCTTGTTTTCCTTCTTTCCCTCCAATATATAGACAGGGTTAAAGTAGCATCCCTCCTGATTACATTAAGATGACAATAAATTTACTGTTTTTGATTTAAACCAAAAACACCAAAATGAGTATGTGCAAATTCAAGATGTTTTTGATGCAATAAGATTTTCAAAAGGAACTGAACGTGGTCAGGAGCCTCTGTGAGACATACTATTTCTACAGTTGCATTCTATTTGTTTCACTCTTATAAAGTAGATTTGCTTGTGCAAATTTCCCCCAATTTTGAAGTTTTACCATGATACTGAAATCTGCTAATATTCTTGAAAGAACTACGTATTGGGTTTCAATAATGATAATATATCATTTGAAAATGTATGTCATACACATTTTCATTTTATACAAATGCATAAAATATGTATTTCATAAAATTATATATTGTTTGAAAATTATATAGTGACAAAAATAGATGGCAGAGAAGCATTGTAAAGTTATCTCATGCTGCAGCTCCTAGTGGCACAGATCATTTAACTGATGAAGTTAACTTATTCAACTGCACTTGTCTCTAGCACTTTAGACAAAAAACAATACCCACCTGGTTCAGTCAACAAAGTCCAAATAAGAGCAATAAAAATTCACTGCAACTGCAAAATGCAGTGTTTCCTTGTCATGAATGCATTCCTGAACTTGGTGCTTCCCAAGGTTAGTCTTCTGGGGTGCTAACATCATAATGCAATAAAAGTGATAGATAAAATCCAACAACAAAGAACTAATTAGCTCCATAGCAATATACCAGGTGGGAAGACTAGGTTTCAAATGATACAGTGTAAATCCTCAAGTATGGAAAACTGTAAACATGAGTCACTTCTTCTATCCAAATCCAATCCCTTAAAGCAGACATTTAGGATTGCCCTGTAAACCAGGGAATACTAAATGACAAGTTTTTCTGTAGGAGGTTGTCTTGATCTAAGATATTGACATGTATGTGTTATCCTAATGCATGCGAGAATGTATGAGAACTCACCAAGTGAGAGCACAGGAAGACACAGAAAATTTGTTCTACCGGAGAAGACTGGGAGAAACCTAATTTTATAGACCTAGATCCAACATTTCTCTAGGAATTCCATTTTCTATCTTCAAAAATCCAATGCTTTCTATAATATTCAGTTATTTTGACATGATTTATTTTCTTCTCTATTACTGTTTTCTTCTCCAAATCCCCTCTCTCTTTTCTCATATACTCATCCCTGAGGCCCCCAATTTCCTCGGTTGACACTGATAGCTACAATGACAGCAGGAAAATAAATCCATGTCCTTATGTTGTCCCCATGTCCAAACCCCATTTTCCAGAGGGTCTGGAAACCCTCTCTGGCCCAGCCTTCTTCTCACCTTTATAATGACCTCCAGATTTGAAGCTTCTAACCTCAGAGGCTCCACTTGTATCTTCCCTCTCCCTGATCTTCTTGCATGATCTCTAAAGAGTGATATACTAACCAATTATCCAAGCCTTAGAGATATAAACAAATAATTTTTAAAACTGTGTCTTTATTCCTGTGTCTGTTAAATACATAGCAGCCCACTAAAGGAAAAGTACCACAAATCATGCTCCTCAACCTTTTTTCATTATGGCCTCCTCTGAGGAGCTTTTTTAGACATATTTTTTTCTAACATCACCCCCCATGAAATTTTAATACCACAGATACACTATATATCTGTTTATATAATATATACACATAAAAGAGTATGATTTTTTCACCCTCGTAGGGGAGATATAGTCCCCACTGAGAATAATGCATGGTCTTGAAGCAGGCAGCAATTGAAGAAATTTTGCCAGAAGTATCTAAATACTGCTAATACTCAGTGGAATATAAACCACTAAACGCATCACCTTTCCTATAAATCTGTAACTGTGTTGAAAGGCTCCAGACAAGCAAAGTCTTAATGTCCTGAGATTCTAAAACACAAATCTTCCTGCAGTGTCTACTGCCTCTTTCTTCACCCTCCCCAGGAAAGTCTACAGAACTAGCAAGCTTTACTCTCAGGATAAGACCAAACCCAATTAAGTTCTTTCCTCAACCTTAAAACATTTTAGTTATATGCTAAAGCACAAACACTGTCAACCCATTTCCCACTCCAGAAACTAGATAAATGCACTTACCTCTTGACGTTTGAAGTTCTGGACATATTCTTCAAACTGTTCATCTTTTGTCTCATCAGCTTTTCCAAGCTTCTGAAGAACCTAGTTTGCAAAGAAAACAAAATGTTTGATTTAATAATGGTCTCAAATAATAGAGCAAGGTTGTTGTTTTGCTTCTCTGAGAATTCACTCTTAGCCCAGCTAGTTTTTCTGTTCTGGAAGCATCTTGGTTTGGTGGTTTTGGAGATGAACACACTTATATTTTAATTACAGTTCCACCACTCGCAGGCTGTGTGACCTTGACCCAGTGTCATGCTAGGTTGCATTTATTTATTTACTAATCTGTTTCCCCCAGTAGGCCACACATGACTTAAAAGACAAAAGCTATTCCTTGTTGTTGTTTTTCCAAAGCATCTGGCACAATGTTGATGCATAACAGGTACTCAATTTTTTGTTAAACAATGAACCAAAGTTATCTGACTAAAGAATTAACCTACTTCATAGGGATGGTATTAAAATTACTGGAGTCAGGCACATGGTAAGTTTACCTTCACCATCTTCCGATATTCCTTTCAACTAAATACTCAAAGGGGCACTGGGCTACACAAGGTCCCATGCTAAGAACTGATCACCCAGAAATACAAAGACAAATAACACAAGGCGCCAGTACTTAATCATAGAATTTTTGCTGCGAACCCCCATCCAACCTGGCCCATTGATGATAAAAGCAGGCCTTGGTACACGGCTTGGTCCTTCAGGCACACACTCAGGCCCAGCACAGGAAGCCACAAACTGTGGATCACTTGTAGCTCCAAACAGGTTGCCAAAGGCCAGGCACAGGCAGCATCTTATACTGGCCTGCACCAGAGTCCCTCCCAAGAGACCCAGAACCAACACACTCAGTGGCCAACATCAGACAACATCAGAGCAGGGCCCAATAAGTTTCACAAGTAGCACATCCAAACGGAGATCTCGGCAGGCACCAAAACTTACTGAGGCGAATTCTGATTGCAAGCTGTGGTTGGGGTTGATCCTCACAGTCAGTCAGCCTGAGGGTTGATTTCACATACAAGTGAGCCAATAGTAATCAAGACTTTATTACATACAACAGGAGGGTCACATTCCTAACACAAGAAACATTCCTGAAGCACCCAGCTCAGATGATCAAGGAGACTGCACCACTGGACCCCACAAGAAAGTTACTACATAAAGCCCACAAAGACTGGGAGTAATAGAAGAATTATCTACTACATAGGAAAAAACAAAGAGGCAGTGAAAATTAGGAGGCAAAGAAATAGTCCCCAAATAAAAGAACAGGAGAAATTTTCAGAAAAACAGTTAAATGAAATGGAGGCAAGCAAATTTATCAGATATAGAGTTAAAAATAATGGCTACAAAGATGCTCAAGAGCATGAAAAAGGACATAGAAGACATAAAAACGGACCAGTTGGAAATGAAAAATACAATATCTAAAATAACAAATACAATGGAAGAAATAAAGAGTAGGTTGGATGCAGCAGAGATTTGAATCAGCAATTTGGAGAAAAAGGTAGAAAAAAACACCAAATCAAAGTAGCAAAAAGAAAAAGGATTTTTAAAAAATGAGGATAGCCCTGGCCAGGTGGCTCAGTGGGTTGGAGCATTGTCCATATACCAAGATAAGGTGATTTTGTATACCACTAACGGCACATACCCAGTTGTGGGTTCAATCCCCAGTCTGCGCATAAATGGGAAGCAATGAATCGATGTTTCTCTCTCTCTCTCACCTATCCTCTCTTTAAAATCAATGGAACCGTTTTCAGGTGAGGAATTTTTAAAAATGAGGATAGGTTAAGAGATCTTTGGAAAATATCAGATCATAGGGGTACCCAAAGGGGAAGAGAGAGAGCAAGGGATTGAAAACCTATTTGAAGAAATAATGACAGAACACTCCCCTAACCTGGTGAAGGAAAAAGACACACATGTCCAGGAAGCACAGAGAATCCCAAACAAGATGAACTCACGGAGCTCTACAACAAAGACACATCATGATTAAAATGCCAAAGGTTAAAAACAAAGAGAGCATCTTAAAAGCCGCAAGAGAAAGACATTTAGTTACCTACAAGGGAGCTCCCATAAAGTTTCCAGATGATTTCTCAACAGAAACATTTCACGCCAAAAGGGAATGGCATAAAATATTCAAAGTGACAAAAAGCAAGGACATACAATGAAGACTACTTCAACCAGCAAGGCTATCATTTAAAAGTGAAGGTGAAATAAAGAGCTTCCCAGACAACAAAAAGATAAAGGAGAAGATAAAGGGTAGCTGAATAGATAAGAAAACATGACCCACACATATGCTGTCTACAAGAGACAAAAGACTCACACAGGATGAAAGTGAAGGGATAGAAAAAAATTTCATGCAAATGGAAACTAAAATAAAAAGCAGAGTTAGCAATCCTCATATCTGACAAAATAGATTTCAAAATGAAGGCCATAACAAGAGACAATGAAAGTCACTAAATAATACTAAAGGGATCAATCCAACAAAAGGATATAATCCTAGTAAACATGTATGCACCCAAGATAGCAACATCTAAATATATAAAATAAACTTCTGAAATTCCAAGATGACAGCAGATTAAGTGGAAGCTATATTGACATTATCCCAAGACCAATCTGGAATTACAACTAAAATATAGGGGGGTAAAACTGAATAGCCAACTGAAGACCGGCTGAAGGAACCCTTATAACCAAGGATGTAAAGTGGAGAACACATAAAGACTGGTAGGAAGTGTGGAGGCATGAGAGGGTGGGCCAGGTTTCCAAGGGAAGCAGCTGACATTTGGAGGAATATCGAAGGTGCAGATGATTCCACCTGAGTAGTCTGGGGTCTAAACTACAAACAGGGCTCCCTAGCACAGAGAACCAAACTGGGAAAAGTGCCTACATAACATCTGACTGTGAAAAGTAGAGGGGTTTCTATCTGTCAGGAAGAGATGGCTGAAAATGCAGGCACCCCCTTAAAGGGCCAAAGCAGAAAATTTCACATGCAGACACTCACTTTGTGCTCCAGCAGAGGGAGGGCAGAGTGGACTACAGCTGTGAGGAGAATGTAGGGCTGCTGACTCTGGGGATAGAGCTCAGAGGGCAGCAGTCTGGATACTTCTGCTGAGTCATTACCCCATATGGCAGAGGACATCTTTCTCAGGCAGACCTTTACCATCCAGGCAGCTTTTGCCTAGAGGGTGGGGGAGCAATTGCCCCACACATTGGAAAACCTCTCACCCAACCTTGTGGAACTTATACCTTGGTGTAGTATACAGCCTGAGACTCATTATGAGACTGAGAATAACAATCAGTCTGCAGGCAGAAGTGGATCTCTGGGTGCTCTGATCTTTGCCTGATCTGCATCTGGATCCAGGCCAAGTAAAAAGAGATCTTGGAGCACATCTTGTTCTTCTCCAAACACACCCAGTCCCAGATGAGGAAGCCACAAACTGTGGATCACTGATAGCAATAAAGAGGGTACTAAGGGCCAGTCACAGACAGCATCTGACATTGGCCTGCACCAGAGACCCTCCAAAAACACTGGGAATCTTAGCAGATCTACCTAATACATAGACAACAGGCAGCCAAAATGGATAGACAAAAAAACAAGCCTGAAATGAAAGAATGAGAGAATTCTCCAGAAGAAAGGCTAACTTAAATGGAGATAAGCAATTTATCAGATACTGAGTTCAGAGTCATGACTATAAGGATGCTCAACAGCATGAGAAAAGATATAGAAACTATGAAACATGACCATTTGGAAATGAAGAATGATATGGCAGAAATAAAGAATACATTGGAAGGAATAAACAGCAGAGTAGAGGAAGAAGAGGATCACACAAGTGAATTAGAAGACACAGTAGAAAAAATCACTGAATCAGAGAACCAAAATGAAAAAAAACTTCAAAACCAGGAGGACAGTTTAAGGGAGCTGTGGGGCAACATGAAAATTAACAATATCTCATCATAGGAGTACCAAAAGAAGAAAGAGAGCAAGGGATAGAAAACCTGTTTGAAAAAATAATAGCAGAAAACTTCCCTTACCTGGTCAAGGAAAAAGTCAAACAAGTTCAGGAGGCATGCAGAGTCCCAAGCAAGAAGAACCCAAAAAGGCACATACCCAAGCACATCATAATTAAAATGTCAAAAGTTAAAGTCAAAGAGAATATTAAAGGAAGCAACAGAAAAGCAAATTGATACCTACAAAGGAACTCCCATAAAGCTGTCAGCTGATTTCTCACCAGACACTCTACAGGCCAGAAGGGAATGGCATAATGTATTCCAGGTAATGAAAAGCAAGGATCCGAAACCAAGAAAACTCTATCCAGCAAGGCCATCAATCAAAATACATGGTGAAATAAAGAGCTTCCCAGACCAAAAAAAGAGGTTAGAGGAGTTTATCACCACCAAATCAGCACTGCAAGAAATGATAAAGGGACTACTGTAATAAGAAGAAACACAGAGAGAGAAACATAGGCATAAAGAATTAAAATGGCAATAAATAAGTACTTATCAATAATAACCTTAAATGTAAATGGATTAAATACTCCAATCAATAGACAAAGGGCAGCTTAATGGGTTTTAAAAAATGAGCCGTATATATGCTGCCTAAAAGAAACCCACCTCACAACAAAAGACTCATAAAGGAGGAGGGTGAAGAGATGTAAAAAAAATTTCCATGCAAATGAAAATAAAAGTTGTGGTAGCAATACTCATTTCTGACAAAACAGACTTCACAATGAAGGCCATAACAAGAGATAATGCAGATCATTACATAGTAATAAAGGGATCAATCCAACAAGAGGAAATAACTCTGGTAAACATATATGCACCCAATACAGGACCATCTAAATATATATTTTTTAAAAACTCCTGGAGGACTTTAAGGGAGAGATCAATAGCAATACAGTTATAGTAGGAGACTTTAACATCCCACTGACTTCAATGCATATATCTTCCAGACAAAAAGTCAACAAGGAAACACTCTAAATGACACACATAATCAGATGGATTTAACTGACATTTACAGAATATTTCACCCCAAAACTGCAGAACATACATTCTTCAGAAAT